CAAATCAAAACTACTATGAGATATCATCTCATCCCAGTAAGAATAGCAAAATTAAACAGAGCAGCAAACAACCAATGCTGGCGGGGTTGCAGAGAAACTGGAACCCTTAATCACTATTTATGGGAGTGTAATATGGTGCAATCACTATGGAAGGCAGTACGGCGCTTTCTCAAAAAGTTGCAAATAGAAATACCATTTGACCCAGCAATTCCACTAGTGGGAATATACCCTAACCAAATCAGAACTGCCAGCAAGTAGATATATGCACACCCATGTTTACTGCATCTTTGTTCACAATAGCAAAGCGTTGAAAATAACCTAAGTGCCCATCAACAAACGAATGGATAGTGAAGCTTTGGTATGTTCACACAACAGAATAATATGCTGCATTGAAAAAGAAGGAATTCATGAATTATTATACAAAATGGGTAACCCTGAGGCCATTATGCTGAGTGAAATATCTCAGTCACAAAAGAACAAATACTGCATAGCGCACTTTTGTAAAATGGGACTGACATCGGTGTTGAGGGGAGACTGAAAAAGAGGGGTAACTAATGTATATTGTATTGAAACAAAAAAGGGAGAGAACTGTTTAAAAGGGATATGTGATTAGGTATTTTTGTGATGACATTAGTCCAGAATGAAGGCTGCACAGTGGAGTGGACATGGGGGGTGAGACTGTACAAAAATGAAAGAAATTTTTCTTTTACTTTTCAAAGAGAAGAGTAAAATGGAAGGGATGGGTGGCCAGGGAAAAAAGTGCAACAATGAATTAATGGAAACCCTAACTCTCTGTAAATTTTCATTAAAATTCATTTTTTAAAAAGACTTAAAAAAGAAATTCACCAGACCAAGTGGGATTCATAACAGGTACTCAAGGATGATTCAACATAAAGGAAAAAAAAATCAAAAAACAATCAGTGCAATTCATCACATTAACAAAGCAAAGAACAAGAACCACATGATCCTATCAATTAATGCATACTAAAGGCCTTTGACAAAATCCAACACCATTTCCTGATTAAAACACTCAACAAAATAGGATTAGAGGGAAATTTCCTCAACATAGTAAAAAGTATATATGCAAACCCAAGAGCCAACATTGTTCTCAGTGGAGAGAGGTTAAAGGCATTCTGTTTGGGAACAGGAACTAGGCAAGGATGCCCACTATCACCTCTCCTATCCACTATTGTATTGGAAGTCTTAGCAATAGCAATAAGACAAGAGAAGGAAATAAGAGGTATCCAAATTGGAAAAGGAAAGGTAAAATTATATGCAGATGATATGATAGTATATTTAGGAAACCCTAAAAATTCAGCAAGAAAAGTACTGGACATAGTTGGCCAATTCAGCAAAGTGGTAGAAAATTTCAATTAATAAGAAAAAGACTACCGAGGAAACCTGGAGACCAGAGGAAGAGTTTCTGTCATTGCTCTATTTATTCACTTATCCAACAACAACATTTTATATAAATACTGCATAATTCCATTGTTACAAAACAGGACTGGCATGGGGGTTGAGAGTAAACTAAGAACTGAGGGGATAAACAGTGTACATTGCATTGAAATAGATGAGGGAAAGAACTGTTTAAAAGGAATAGATGATTAGGTATTATCTGCATGACAACAATCCAGAATAAGAGCTGCATAGTGAAGTGGACTGGGGGAGGGGAATTGTACAACAATGAAAGAATTTTTTTTCTTTTTTCAAAGAGAAAAGTAAACTGGGCCTGAGGTGGGTAGGGTGGAAAATATGTGCAACAACTAATGAATGGAAATCCAAGTTCTCTATAAACTTTCATTAAAATCTCAATTTAAAAAAAAAAAGAAATGTTATGGAAACTAGAAAAACAAGCGATCTCTGTTAAGTAGCAGCAGCAATTTAAACTCAGTTGTGCCACCTAATTGTGTGGAAAGCAGAATTAGCAAGTTATAAACTTGGATATTTAGTTGGGCAGATTTCCATGCAAAGTAATGAAGGTGCGGCCTCTTTTTTGTTGTTTGGATTTTTTTACAAAAAAGAATTTGCTGCCTACAGATAATTTGAGGGGAAAGAGACAAATTGAGAAAGGGATTGTTAAGTAGAAAGGAAGCAGCACTCAGTGATTTGGAAAATTCTCAGCCTGTACAGCAGGTGAAAATGTAGAGCTTCCCTATTCAGAAACCATGCTCCATAGAGAAGGGCGCAAGGGTAGAGAAACAGGGTGTGGACTTACTAAATAAACCATCTCACTAAACCATCTCACCAGAAGTTGGAAACAGATTTTCCAGGAAAGATCTTGTCCAATGGTATGAGTCCCTGCAATACACACTTGAGGGATAAATAAGGATTTTGAGAATGTTAAATCAACAGAAACACCAGCAACTTGGATGGAAGAGACTGAGAAAAGGACCTGATGAAATAAGGCCATAGGACTCCCAACATTTTTTCAGAAGAAACAGCCAATAAACCTAGTCATCAGCAAACACGTACCTTCAAGAAACAGGAATAATAACACTAAAGGCAGAGCCCAGGGTCAAAAAGAAAAAGCCTCCAGTCACATGAAAGCATTTTTGGACTTCAAAACCAAATGTAATTGACCCTGCTGGATTTCTGAACTTCTTGGGAGCAATGATTCCTTTATGCTTTCTGTGTTCTCCTGTTAACATAAATGTCTATAATTATTATCCTATGTCTCTTATCCCATTGTATTTTGGAAGCAGAAAACTTGTCTTTTAGTTCTACAAGACTATAAACAAAAAGTAATTTTGAAGTAGGGTGAAATTTCTCACACCTCTGATATTTAGATCACGAAATTTGGACTTTGAGTTGATGATATCAATAAATAGAGATGGCATTTGGACTGACTGTGATGTTACAATGGGTTAAGTTTTTAAAGGATGGTGGGCATGCAGTGTATTCTGTATATGGGATCAATAGGAATCTTTGGGGTGAGGGGGCAGACTGTAGTGGACTCCAAAGATATAATCCCCAGAACATGTGAATAGTCCCTTACACGACAGAACAGTAATATTAACCATCCTGAAAGGAAAAGCTTAATGCTGGATTATCTAGGAGGATTCTAAATCCAATGACAAGCATCTTTATGAAAAAGAAGTAGAAAGATATTTGTCACAGACATAAAAGAGAACCCAGAGAAGAGGGGGGATGTGACCTCAAAGTTGAATTTCACTGTAAGCCAGGGAATACTTCTAGCCACCAGAAGTTGGAAGTAGCAAGGAATTAACTCTCCTTCACAGCCTCACAGGGAAGGAGACCTGCCAGGATTTTGATTTCAGACTTCTGGCCTCTAGAATGTCTAGGGAATTTTTGATGTGTTTTTTATTTGTTTGTTTTATAATTAATTTTAATGACTGTTTACAGAGGTTTTGCATTTCCATGCATTCATTGTTACATTTTTCTCCCTGCCCATCCCTCCCCCCCAGTTTGTTTTTCTCTTTGAAAAGTAAAAGAAATGCAACCTTCATTCTGAACTCTTGTCATAACCGTAATACTCAATCATATATTGCTTTCAAGCAGTTCTCCCCCTCATCTGTTTCAATGCAGTATACACAATTTATCCAATTTTTCTCAGTTTCACTCCAACCCTGATGTCAGTCCTGTTCTACAACAGTGGCACCATGCAGCACCTGTCCTTTTGTGACTGAGATATTTCACTCAGCATAATGTCCTCCAAGGTCACCCATTTTGAATAATATTGCATGAGTTCCTTGTTTTTCAATGCAGTGTAGTAGTCCATTGTGTGAATATACCACAGCTTCTCTATCCATTTGTTTGTTGATGGGCACTTAGGTTGTTTCCAACTCTTTGCTATTGTGAGCAAAGCCACAATAAACACGGTGTGCAAATATCTGCCTGCATGGCAGTTCTGGTTTCTTTAGGATATATTCCCAGTTATGGAATTGCTGGGTCAGACGGTATTTCTATTTGCAACTTTTTGAGAAAGTGCCAAACAGCCTTCCATAGGGGTTGTAGCATTTTACACGCCCACCAACAGTGAATAAGGGTTCCAGTTGCTCTACAACCTTGCCAGCATTTTTGGTTTGCTGCTCTGTTAAATCTTGCTATTCTTACTGGGGTGAGATGATATCTCATAGTTGTTTTGATTTGCATCTCTCTTAGAGCTAGGGATTTTGAACATTTCTTCATGTATTTGCTGGCCATTTGAAAGTCTTCTCTGGTGAAGCATCCCAATAAGCAATGCACTCCTTAAAAAGAGAAACAAGGTAGGAGGCATCTCACTCCTCGATTTCAAATCCTATTACACTGCTGTGGTGGTCAAGACAGCGTGTTATTGTTATAATGGCAGACGCGAATATCAATGGAATAGAATAGAGAATCCAGAAACTAGCTCATCTACTTAGGGTAAATTGATTTTTGAAAAAGATGAAATCAGTTAAGTGGGGAAATGACAGCCTTTTTAACAAATGGTGTTGGCAAAAGTGGAAAACTATCCGTGGAAAACTCAGGCCTTACTCCATACACACACACAAAAAAAACCTCAAAAGGGATCAAGGACCTAGGACTAAAACCAAGGACTATACATGTCATTAAAGAAAAGCTTGGAAGAACTCTAGAAGCCCTAATCCACAACATAAACAGTCTTCCAAGCATCCTGAAAAATCTACAACCAGGAGAGGATAAAATAGATGAATGGGACCTTCTAAGAATCAAATCCCTATGCACACGCAAAAACTTCTTCAATAGAGTAAAAAGGGAAGCCAGAGATTGGGAAAAAATATTTGGTAATGACATGTCAGATAAGGGACTAATATCTAGAATCTATAAAATACTTGAGCACCACAACAAGATAAAGGTAAATAACCCAACTGAAAAAAGGGCACAGGATATGAACAGACACTTCACCAAAGAATTTTTGTTGTTTTATACTACATTTCAGCACTTCGTTAACCACAGAAGAAGGAAATGTAAGCACCTACCTTTGGCATTCCCCTATCTACATGAATCATGCCCTCACTCACAATAACTGTACGTCTTACCTGGGATGAAAAGAATGGCTCCAACAATAATGACTATGGTGAGCAAGAGTCCAGCAGCAAACATGAGAATGCTTTTCTCATTTGTCCGGTTGGATGTATATTTAAGTGCTGAGAACAAAAAAAACAAAACAAAACAAAGAATTACATGAACTTGAGGGTAAGCAGTAAAGCCATTTCTGTAATTTGTGTGAAGTACAAAGACAAACTGATTTGCTTACTGTAATTTATTAACCTTTGAGAAACAATTCCTCAGTAACATGCCAGGCTACTTCAAATATATTTCATAATCAGTGGATAAATAGTACCCCAGCAATACAAATACGGATGCTAAATTTAGAGTTGTTTTAGTCCCCTCCATTTTAGAGACCAAAGTTACATATGCCAGACTTGGTAAATACTGGCATTAATAACATTTTGAGTCAGGTAAGTCTTTGCTTGGGAACTGGGAGGCTGTCCTACGTATTACAGAATGTTTAGATTATAGAGCAACACTGAAAACACAATTTCTGGCATCTATTTGCAAATGCCAGAAATAGCTTCCTAGTCCTATCAGACAATACTGTCTCGAGACATTGCCAGATGACTCCTGATGGGCAAAAGTGCCCCAAAATGATAACAGTGGTATACATGATACTGGCTGAAATAACTGGCTAACTGACAAGACTGAGGGAAAATAACAAAGGCTTGTTTAACATGTAAATAAACCCTCAAACTAATTGTCTTTGGGACACTCTAGACTCATAGCCCACGCCACAGTTTTCGTTTCTAAAGCTGTAAATCACACGGAAGCAGATTACCTTTTCTTCTGCTGTGGAGCTGGTGGTGGATTTGAACTGTCAGAGAGACACCCACCTTTGAGTTAGCAGTACAACTTCCTAAGGACTATGCCACCAGAGCTCCCTAACTTACGTAAGATTAGCAAAATACCAGGAAATGCAGATATGTTTTTTAAAAAGGGATACAACAAAACACTGGGCAAAACAGCCAAGTGAAATCACTGAGGGAAGGGATGCTCATATCTATTCAACAAAAGCTATATAATAAAAATTAATTAAGAAGATGTAGCAAGTCTCAGCAAACATTGTTTCTGATACTTGTTCTGTCAAATACCTCCCAACTTCCCTGAGAGCATAACATAATGGATAAATCTAAGAGCATGCCTTTTTTGGTTTTAATATTAAAGGCAGTTTAATAATCACAAAGGCAGTTGTTAAAAGGTAAACTTAATGCAGTCTGAGAAGTACAGAGCAACAGGATCAGACTAAGATTCTGCTGAGCATCATTCACATGATACTCTACAAGCTACATTCTAACCAACGGGTGATAATCCTGAAAAGGGACAAAAACAACTTCAGTGCTATATTTGGAAGTTAATTTCCTCCCTTAAAATGGAAAGTATAAAATATAACGAAACAACAACAAAAACCCCCCACTTAATCTGAAGCTCCACCTCACATACTTTGGGCACATGGTCAGGAGAGATCAGTCCCTGGAGAAGGACATCATGCTCGGAAGGATGGGAGGACAACGCAGGAGAGGAAGACCCTCAGATGAGATGAACTGATACAGTAACAGGGACAAAGGGAGTTGGTGTGTCGAAATTAGTGACACTGGCTCAAGACAAGGAAGAGTTCAGAGCTGCTATACATCGATAGGGTCATTATACATCACAGGCGACTCAATGCCACATAACAACAATAACATACTATGACAGATTTGGAAGCAGGAGTGGCATCCACTTCCTAAACAACATGCCTCCGTAAACTCTATGAACTTTTGATAAATGCCAGTGATTGTAGAGGGGCCTCAGGCGTTTTGTTCATGGGGTTTCTATGAGTCATGCTCATCTCAAAGGCAACCAACAACAAAGAATATACAGACATCTGACCAGGAGTCTTGGCGGCATTGTGGACGAAGTGATTCAAACCACCAGCCACTACACAGGAGAGAAATATGGTGTTCTGTTTCCATAAAGATCTACATCCTTAAAAACCCAAATGCAACATTTCCATTCTGTCCTATGGAGTCAGTCTGAGTTGGAAAAGACTCAATGGCAGTGGATTTTCTGGGTTGCTTGCTTGCTTGCTTATTCTCTTGGCCTAGCAATCCAAAGATGGTCCCTCTCCTCCTGTGAGATTTACTGCCTCTGAAAACCTGCTGGAGCATCAACTATGGGTCAATTCCAACCTGACAGAACACAATGATGATGATGTGAAAAACTGTATTTCTAACTACTGATGGTATAGGCCTTACAGCGAATTGAGAACTTTAGTGGAACCCAGCCCAATGTTAGGACTGTTGTTGTTATGTGCCGGCGAGTCACTTGCAACTCATAGCGACCCTATGTACAACATCCCTAAACTCTGCTCTGTCCTGTGCCAATCGTGCTGTCTCCGACACACCCATCCCGATTACCCCAGTCACTGAATCAATCCACCTCATAGAGGGCCTTC